CCGCCCTTCTCTGTTTGTGGGTTATTTTTTAACCTGATTCTCCAAAATGTAACATAGTTGTCAATATTTGTGCAGCTAGATTTTGGTTTTTATCATAAGGTTTAAAACTAATGGAACTTCCTTCACATATGTAAACTAAACTATGGTTAACAATAAAAAGATCACTAAATTCCGTCATGTTAGTCCTTAGCAGTTTTCTAAAGGTAGTGTACCCTGATGCCTGCTATCACTGACTGCTGTCGATGAAATACAAAGGATATGAGACTTTCTTTTTTTAATTTAAGTGACATGCTGGATCTCATGCATAACTAACCATATTGGTATTTATTGATTTGATTAAGTAGGAGTTCTGTTGTTATTTAAATTATTAGATTGTAAAACTCTAAGAAAGCCATAAATGTAGAGTGCCAGATTAAATTAAATTTTAAGTGGTCAGAGTTATTTAGAAACCTAATTTGTACTGACAGAAAACGCCAGGAAAGGGTGTTTTGGTTGTGTGTGGATACTGAGAACTTAAGAAAATGTGCAGATGTCCAGTGAACATGGAGGGGATTTTTACAGCATCCTGAATAAAAATGACAAAAAAATAGAGGAGAGAGGATACATAAAGGGAATACCTAATTGAATATCACAAGCAAAGGTGTTTGAAATAATATTTTATTTTGAAAAAAAGAGGTAAGATGTTTTCTATCTGCCTTTGAAATGTAGATTGAAAAAACCAGAGAGTAGAACAAGTTATTTATAGCAATCTGTAAAGCACAAATAAGTCTTAGGGTACTCATTGTTGTGGGTCTTTTAGGTGCCTTACACAGTGTTGGTGCTAAGGGGTACTTAGCAAAACATCAGTTATCTCATGGAGTTCACAGGATGGTGGGGAAGAAAGAAATGGGTCATGCGTTGACAAACATGTGAAGATAAGAAGGGGAAAGTCCAGAATGATATGGGACTATATGATCAAACATCTAATCCAGCCTGGGAGCAAAGGTTAGGGAAGGTTTATTATAAGAAGTAATTTACCAAAAAAAAAATTTTTTTCGGTAAATTACCGAAGCCAGAAGAATGAATAAGAATTAACCAAGAGAGTGGTTTTCACTGTAGACCATCGCCATGAGTAAAGACCTGAAATCAAGAGAACATGACATGCTTAAGAAAATAAGAACATTTTATGTGTCCAGGAGATTATATGAGTAAGGGAAAAGGGAACTGTAGAAAATTAAAGAATGACTGAGAACTTCAAGATAGAAAGAGAAAAAAAGATTCGAGGTAAGGGAGCAGGGACATAGTTTGTGTTTTAAAGTAATATGGTAAATGGATTTTTTTTTTTAGGGGTGTGTATGTGTTCAGTTGTGTCAGTTTTAACATATGTATAGATTTACGTAACCACTACCACAATCAGAAAAAAGATAACCCATTATCCCATAAACTTTTGTTCATGCTGCTCCTTTGTAATCTTTTTTTTTTTTATATATATGAAATT